TCCCTGCCTTCATTTCCCATAAAAGCACACTACTTCCACAGTGCCAGCTAAAGACCATAACACATTCTGCCATCCTGCCACATCCACTGTGACCCCTCTGCTTCTCTCGCAAATAAAGAGGAGCAGATCGGGAGAGGTGTGTACTGCAGTGGTTCTCAAAGTCTGTTCCATTCCAGAAGCATTATGGGAACTTGGTAGAAAAGGCAAATTCTTGGGCCCCACTCAACCTGCTAAATTAGAAACTATGGGAATGGGAAGCAGCAATTTGTGTTGTAATAAGTCCTCGAGGTGAATCTGAGTTTGAGAACCATTGTCATAGTGAAAGCTGACACAGAATCATTAAAGTCACACAGAAGTAGAACCATGTGCCCTGACTCCCAGCTCAGATCCGCTGGCCCGAGACTCTATGTATGTGTGAACATCAGGCTTCTCATGCACTTATATTTAAGACTTATTTGGATAATTCTTGAAACAGAACTTCTCCAGGACTTACTTAAATTGGAGAAATTAATGACAGCATGGATTTTCATATTTCAATAATGCAAAAAATAAATGAGAATATAATGAGGAATGAATACTTTTTATTAAATGTTTCTTGACTTTGAAGATCATATTGGAGAAAATGGCTCTCTGCTGAGACTCACTTGTTTCTGTTTCTAGGCACATCTCCTACAAATGGGAAATCTGAATGTTTAAAAGTGCTCAACAAAATATTCATGAAGTCTGCCTCAGTGCTTCTGTTTGAGAAGTAAAAAGTCTCTTGTAGGATATTAATGTGTTAAACCACATTGATGGATTCAAATACCTTCTTACTTTTCTTCATCTTGGTATCAGAAAATTCATCTAAAGCACACCAGTGAAAGAGTAGTCAGTTCCCTTGGCACTTTGAGACATTCTAATGTTTCTGTACTATGTCGTTTTATTAGCCTATAAACCTGTGAACATCAATGAACTATGGGCACCATCATAATTGTTTTATTGTTTGCAGCCAAGAGGTACTCTGTATCCTTCTGCTCATAAAATAGCTTCTTTCTCAACTTGCTTCTGGTAGCATCTGTGTATTTTCATTTTGTATATTTTTTAAACATTCATAGGGTATCCTCTCTTATCCTTTAACATATTCAGAGATCTAACAACTTCACAATTCAGTGGGAAAAAATGAACCATTTTTCGTCTCTCCAAGTTAGTATTTCACAATGATCACAGCATGATAGTTTAGCATGCGTCTGAAGTTTTCAAAGGGGGCTGGCACTGGAATCGTTTTATTGCAATCCAGTTTTAAATATCCTGTATGGTATTAATTTCTAAAGTCACAAGTTGTGGAAAGAAGACAAGTTATCAAGGATGATTATGCTTAACAGGCCTTGATTTTCCTCCACCTCGGGCATCCCCCACTGTCTCTAGGGAGAGTTTATGTTAAGTACAATGAAATTCTCATCTCTTGGGGGCTTGTACTGCCAGACATAATCCAGGTAAAAAGCATTTGCATGGTGCAGCCAAGTATATGACTTAGTGTGCTTATGAGGGGATTCCTTTTGTTCTGTAAATTGATAGGCGCAGCCGGAGTGATTATGTAAATAATCAAAGGAATGAAAGGCAATGCAGAGGGTGTAACCCTATCCCAGGCTGCCAGACAAGAGACAGCATGTACCTGGCTGCAAGCTGGGCTGAAGCGAGGTGTCTAAAACTGGAAGCAGTTGCTTTTTATAGCCATGTTCCTCAGGGGACCTATTCTACATAGTTATGTTAAACAATTTCCTCATCCTCCCGGTGCTGCTGTGTGAGATTCTAAATCGTTCTCTAGTTTGCTGCCCACAGCTCTCTTGGAACAAACTTTAACATGCTTCTGAATTTAGCTTGCTCTGTCTCCACAACCATTTATTAAAAAATATGTTATGTACCTAGTACACATAGGCAATGGTTTCTTGCATTACCCCCTAGGATGATGATAAATGTTTATTTGTGCAATTAATAATTATTTATTGAATACACCTACTTTAAGCCACATGCTATACTAGTTTCTGGGGATATAATGCTAGCAAGACACAGTCCTGTAACAGCTGAGTGGATGTGACAGATGCATGGACACCCTAGTGTGATAAGTTCCGTGGCTGGAAGGCATTAGGTGCTGTGAGAGCCCAAACAGTCTTAAGGGGTCTGGGAAGTTTTCCTAGAAGAAAGTCCTAGAAGTAGTAATTAACCAAGTGAAGAGAGACAGGGAAGGTGGGGGAAAAAAAAAAAAAAGAAAGAAGAAAAGAAAAGAAATGGAGAGTTGTTTATAGAGAGAGAAAATAGTATATCCTAATTCACAGAAGCAGAGGGAGTTCTGTTCAAGGGAATAAAGAGATATTATGAAGCTCAGAATTTAGGACAGAAAAGTGAGCGGTGAGGCTGGGAGGTAAGCAAGCCTACACAGTGAAGCAAATTTAACACTCTAGGCCAAGGAGCCTGAATTTTAGCATCCAAAGCACAATGGGGATCCACTCAGCAGGTTTTAGCAGTGAGATGACGACCAGATTGGTGTTTCAGAAGGATTTGTCTGGCTCTGTGGAGAAAGGATTAGAAGGGCCAAGACTGGCCAGCTACTTCAGAGTGACTAGCCTCGAGGCAGCTGTGACTTGCTGCATTTCTTGCTCCTTACTAATAATGAAATGTCTTGAGTGTTCATTCATCCATTTTCAACCTCGATAGGGACTTTTCTTCAAATAATTATCATGGAAACACAATTTAGAGAACTATCTCATAATTATATGGCAACAAATAGCTAAGGTCATTAGGTCTACTCCCTGCCTTCAAAACAAACCAATGTCCTAAAAGTCAAGAATGTTGCAATCTCTGAATGACCTATCCCAGCATGGCCTTGCCCTTTATAAACAACCCACAGAGAGCGCCTAGAACATTGGAGATGTTCAATAAATATCTGATGAAGTATTATTTAAAATAATCTCCTCTTGTATCCTATAGTCTAGTATGATTATAGAAAAACATTAGAATCCTTTTTCTAGCAAATTTTTGCACATATCTTTAGCTTTTTCCTAAGTCTCAGAAGCTTTCCTTAGGAAACTCAGTCATATCAAGAATATCTTATCTTCAAGTGGGGGAGGGAATCTTTTAAAGAATAACTTTTATCTTAACTGTGAACTTTAGCATCAAACTAATTTAAACTGCAATCATTATATAATGACAAAGCACTTCTCGACCCGGCCTTTCCCAATGTCCTATAGGAGAAAATGTTTCACCACTGAGCAATCATTCCATGTTATCATTGCTACATTTACGAAATCAGTCCTCTTCTTCTCTACCTGCTTCAAAATGCAGTGTCATTATTGTGCTGCATAATTGCAAAAATATTTACCTGCAGATTTACTGCTCAAATAGCAACCATGTAAAAATCAAAAGGCTGTCGGCATTTTGGCTTTGAAACCAAGATTGCTTCAGCTAAAGTGGAAGCTGTTTAATCCCAATTGCATTTAGCAATACAAACTGGTGACCAATGACTCACTCTATCTGCAACCTGCTGTGGGGATGGCCATCTATCTGTCTATTCACATTATATTTACTAAGAGAAAGCTGTAGTCAGTTATTCTTAAACATTTGTGTGTGAAGCAATATCATTTTTTCAAAGTAGGAAAAACTCACGTTAATGTTTAATTTGCTCTCTTTAGATATGTCATTTGAGTCAAGTTATTATCCCCCGTGGCAAATAAGTAACAATGAGCAACTTGGGAGTATAAAGTATATACAGAGTCACGCGTGGCAAAGGTTGAAAGGCAGGCCCATGTAGCCCAAAACAGTTTCCTAGCTGGGGACACAGAATACTTAAGAGCCCAAGTGCCTCCACCAGTCCAGGCTCATAGTGCTGATTTTGGAGGGCTGGAACTGGAACCCTGGACTTCGAACTTGAATCCAGGCTCTCTTCACTCAATGCGGCATCTCAATTTTATATTAAGATTTTCCAAATTGGAGTGATTAATAGGTTGTGAACTATTGAAGGAAAAAAAATCATTCACAAGGGATATCTTTACACTTTGATCACCTATTATAGTCATTGACCTCTGGGGAATATTTCAGTTTATTAGCCGGCTTTTCTTCCCACTGCCAGTAATTAGCTAAAATTTCACAAATGCATGCAAATTTGACCTATAATTTTGTGTTCCCTAGTTGGTACATATACTCAAATTCACTTTTTTTGGAAGGGCTTCGAAGATGTCTCTTAAAATAATCATTGACTTGCTTTCAGAGATTGTTTGATGCATTGGTAACTCCTGAAATATATTAATCCAAGTTGTCAGTGGGTTATTTCCTGACCCACAGAAGATATCCAAATTAGGGATGAATGATTTTTTTCTCTCAAAGCCTTTTTCTTTTGATAGGCTGACTTGGTTCAGAACAGGCTCAGGCAACATAATTTATGGTTCCTAAAATAGAGAGCAAAAGAGACTCCAGTGGCTCTCCTAACATATGGGAGCCTGGGGAAAAGATATATATACAGATAGAGCCTCTGCTCCATCTCTATAAAGTGTATAGGAGTGAAGAATTGATAAGGGCTCGTGATTCTGCACCTGGGATGGGTCCTACAAAATGACAATTCTGATGAGAACTCTTCATTAAGTGCTTTCACTGTAAGACTAATGGACCCAGTGGATTGTTATCCAGCTACAGCCATGACAGCCAGATTTGAGCAAGATACCTGGGGAGAACACTTGCTCATAACACAGCCCTGACTTTCCTCCTTAAAAGTTTGTTCTTTGAGTCATGCTGCTTCTCTTTCAAGAATCTACTATTGGGATACCTATCCTCATGACAATTACTTCTTAGGGATAATTACTTTCAGTAACTTTCATTTTTTCCAGCAAATACATATTAAGCTAATATATGATGTGACGTGATAGCTTTCCTATGTAATATTTACTATAGTATATAATATAACCTCATATGTCATATAAGTATAATTGAAAAAACTTCATGAAATAATACTACATGCAGTACACTCTAATATATTATTTTCTACCGCATTTTATTCTTAAAAATGCTGGTCTCAACTCACCAAATTGACATCATCATACTTTAGTTTGACATTAATTTGACTCATTGTTTGATTTATCATTTGAAAAATGCTGGTCTTAAGCCATATTAAAAATATTATTTTAAAGCCACATTTAAAAAATTTGTAAGTCTTGTTAAGAATTTTGGGCTTTACTTTACAAGTAACAAGCTGTTGAAGAGTTTTAAGCAAACTTAAATGGAGTGATCTTTTTGGGCTTTTATTTTATTTGTTTTCAATTAACATTTTAATTAAAGATAACCAATAATTAAACAGATGAGCTTTTAATTAATATCTGAACTGTAAACGGTCTAATGGAAAGTATTGTTAAATCTAAGTTGCAAAAACAGCAACCTCAAACTACCCACGATCAGAAATATTCCCCCCTTTTTTCCAGCTTTATTGAAATATAATTGACATATAAGACTGTTTCAGTTTAAGTTGTACCATGTATTGATTTGATGCACCTATGTATTATAAAATGATTATCACCATAATATTAGCTAACACTTCCATCATATCACATAATTAGCTCTTTTATTTTTTGTGGTGAGGACATTTAAGATCTACTCTTTTAGCAACTTTCAAGTATTTAATACAATATTATTAACTATAATCCCCCTGCTGTACATTAGAGTCCCAGAACTTATTCTTCTTATAAATGGAAGTTTGAACCCTTTGACCAACATCTCCCCATTTTCCCCACTCCCAGCCCCTGGTAACCACCATTCTGTCTCTGTTTCTCCTTTTGGTATTTTAAGAGATTGTTTTGCCTGCACAATGGAGCACGACTTGGAGGGAATGGAGACATCCCAGGTGTCAGCCATCTATACGAGAGCAGGGAGCCTCAGTGCGCAGAGGCGGGGGGGGGGGGGGGTCTTCCTCTCCTTATCATGTCTTGGCCTGGATATCCAGGAGGCAATTGGAAGGCCAGGGGTTTAAGATGGTGATTTCCATGTGAGCAGAGGTCAGACCTAAGAGAGAAGAAAGTAAAGCAAAGGCGTTATGAAATTAGTCTAGTCTTTTGGAGCTGGAGTTTAGAAACTTCAAAATATAGAGCTTACTGTCCTCTTACCCATGTGTACTTTGCCATTCAAATTATTTAGGTATTTTAGTCACTCACATATTCGTTCATTCAAGATGTATAAAACAATTACTGTGTCAAGACAGTGCTAAGTGTCAGGGATATAGAGACATAAAGCTAACTGCTGGCTCTGAAAGAGAGCCACACATCTTTCTTGAAAGAAACCACATCTTATGATTTATGTATTTATTTCCCTTTTGCTCTTCCTATGTACTTTGTAAAAGCCTGAAAATCTAGCCCGGCTTTGTTGTACTGACAGAAACTTCTAGAATCAGAAAAAAACAGCACCATGGGAAAAAGAAAACTTGAGACAACAAATCTGGAGCCACTTGATTCAAAATAGGCCTCCCCATGGAGACTTTGCTTCCATTAAAAAATCTTTTGAGGTTCTGGATTTTGTTTTAGAGAGTTGCATTACCTTCATCCTCCAGGACAATCTTAGTCCATGTCTTTTCAAAATATGTTAGGTTAACTATTAAGAAAATCAGTTGTTTATCACAAAGAACCAAAGCACGAATGAAAGACCCTTTGCGTTATTCATAAACACATCTCTCTAAATGTATTGAAGCTATCGGCAAGTAATGTTGGCAACAGCTGAAACAGGTTCACAAAATACTAAAGGACATAAGATAAAGATCTGAGCAGTAACACAGAACAGAAGTAGGCTTATTCAAAGCACACTTTCCCCCAAACTCCAGCACACACAATAACTCCCTCTGTGAGTACCAGGCTTCGGTGGAAGATCAAAGAACTCACACTTGAGACTATATCAAGAAATCTAGTCGTTAAAGAGCCAAAAATGTAGATCAGAATCTTCTTTCAGATTAACTCAGGATATGAAGCAAAGGAAAATGGGCAAAAGATCTTTCCAGTGAAGTGAGGAGGGAAAAAGTAAAAGAAAAGAAAGCAGTAATCTATAGTTCAAAGTGGACCCCTAAAATATTGGGCACTCAAATAGTGCATATATTTTAGATGGACTGTATTTGTAGATTGTCTTATCCTCCACCAAATTCCTGATTATTTGTCCCATATTCCTGAAGATTATAAAACCACTACAGAAAATTTAATGTACTTACTGAGAAACAAGGAAGTTCTGAAAACTATTCAATAATCCTGATAACTATCGCTGCAGGGGGACTGGGTTTAATGGCAAATCATTCTTGGGTTCCCACTTGGCCCAAATAATTAGTATTCACTATGTTTATAAGTAGTTTATAATAGCTCATGAATATTTCTTTACTACACCTTTAACTTGCAAAATAAAACAGTAAAAGAAAATGATCTCTAAGCCACCTTCCAGCCTCAAGACTTTATATATTAAAACCATTTGGGGGCTGGCCAGTGGCATAGTGGTTGGGTTGGCATGCTCCACTTTAGTGGCCCAGGGTTCATAGTTTCAGATCCTGGACATGGACCTAGCACTGCTCATCAAGCCACACTGGCAGCATCCCATATAAAAAATGGAGGAAGATTGGCACAGATGTTAGCTCAGGGCCAATCTTCCTCATATAAAAAAAGGAAAAATCTTTTGGACAAGTACACCCACTTGGTTAGAATATATACATCATAAAAAGAAAAATTTTGTCAGTAGGGAACACACCTGAACTGTGACATTTCTGACAGATGGCACCACAAGGTAGGTCTTGTGGAGCTCTGAATGCTATCACCATCTTGATGGATAATTTAGTGTGCTAAATAAAAACTCCAAGTGGGCATTTGACTTCAGAAAACACCTGTTGACAAAGACCACATCTTTAATCTGAGGAAAATGTAGTTCTCCTTGAATTTAATCTACATCTTAGGGTTTGACCTTTAATTTCTTGCACAGTGAGCCAGCATTATATGTAAAGAACATAAACTAATTTCCACATTTGCTGTTATATAACTGATAAAAATAAAGTCTACAGCTTTCTCTTTTCCCATGGCATTCTCATAACCTTGCACTTCACTACAATCCAAAAGGCCCTTGCATATGGTCTTGTCCAATAGTGCACACACCTTGTGTATACACCTGAGGTCTTGTTTATATTTGTTTGCTGTGGTGGTACCCACAAGAGCATTTTTGTGGTAGGTGCTACTATTTGCATCAAAACTTTAGTTCAGGCTTGCCTTATATACACTAGAACCTAGTCAACACAAGTAAATGCCAGGTGACTACACTGTTTCATATGTGAATAGTGCCTCCCAGCATTCTGTGACTTCTGAGCTCTGGTTTAGAGAAAATCACCTCTTTGGTAAGGACTTGAGGAGGCCAGTGGGAGACTTGCTCTGAGAAAGAGGCCACACAGTAAAAGATTTCTGAAGATGCTTTATCGTAATAGCTCCAGTCTTGCTAAAATGATTGGCTTCTGTTCTCTAATAATCTTTTTGTGGATATTCGTGAGAGGGAAACATCAAGAAAGAGATTAGAATGCTATTTCAAACATATTATGTCATGAACTTAAAATACCCTAGTTTATCTACAATGCGTGAGTCTTAAAGCAACCATTCACCTATCAGTAGGTAGAAATATAGAGTATTGGATGGTAGCCAGGGGATCAAAGTTTCAGAAGGAAATACTTTTAATATACTGCATTATTCAGGCCTATAATCTCTTGGATTTTATATAACATTCCACTCCGCTATTTGGAAATGCTTTCAAACCACAGAACGCCTTCATCATTGCAAATAAGTTACTGTGCCAACATACTTTCTGTCACCCTGTTGAGCCACATTATTAAATGAGTTCCCTTACTACAAATTATTTTTTGAGGAACTGGATTCATTTGGTTGGAAACATCATACTTTCAATAACCTTTTAACAGAAAAATCTGGGATCTTATTTCATGGATGCATTCAGTCAATCAACATGCGTTTGTTCAGGCTTTTGCTAGAAGCTACAGGACAGGTTGTAGTGAAGAAAGTAAAGACAATTAAGAAATGGTTCCTTTCCTTGAGCTGCTCAAAGTCTGGGATAGGAAACAGACACATAATCACCATTATAAAACGATATGATTAAGGTCAGAAGCAAGATCAGTGCAAAGTGCTATAACAATGGAGGGGTTAGCAACTGACTGGTGGAGCCTAGAAAGACTTGAAAAGGTAAAATTGAAGGTAGAAAGTGAAGATAACTTAACTGTTCAGAGAAGAGAGATTAAGGGTTTCATGGTATAATTTGCAACGTTATAAATTATAGAAACTTAAAGCATTAAGGTACATTAAGAATACTACAGCAATAGCAATTTATGTGGCAATGATGTTTTACAACCTGAAATATATTAAGGAGTGTATGGGAGATGACAGGGAAAGTAGGATGAAACCTTTGTCTATGTCCCACGCAAGAGGGCTGAACTTCATCCCATGAGAATCTGGAAGCCTTTGAAGGCTTTTTAAGCAGGAAACTAGAGATATGCTTATAACTATATATTAAAAAGACAATTCTGGTAGCTATACTCAAGGAACATCTATTAATTTTCAGTCGGCTACATCACTCTTCATTTTGAAAACTGCCCCTTCCTTGGTCCTTGTGATTCTGGTCAGGCTGGCAAACAGGAGGCTCTACCTCTCTACTATGGGGTTGGGCACATGGCACAAACTTGCTAATCAGACAGTTCCAGGAGTAGACCTGGACCCAAGAGAGCTTAATATGGGCATCTGGGGGTGGGATGGGTGGATGAGAGGGGCACTTTTCTCTGGAATTTCTAGCTAAAAGGCTTATGTAAGCCTGTGGCTCTTTGGCCACATTTGTCACTACGTGGATAGAACCTGTTCCAAGGAGGCCAATGGCGAAGAAAGCAGAGTCGAGGGATAGAGAGACAGACAGAATCCTGATGGCATCATTTGAATCCCTGTATCTAGCTTTGTTTGAAGTCAACTCTCTTCTGCAATTCTTTGATTCAATAAATTCTTTTTTTTGTTTATTTCATAAACACAGTTTGAGTTTGGTTTCTGCATTTGTAGTTGAAAATTTTCTCACTAGTGTGGAGAATAAAAGCCAGATAAGAGTGGAATCAGAGACATATACTAAGAGGAATTAAAGTGATCTAGATGAGCCATGATAAAGGCCTGAACTAGACAATGGAGCTAAAGAAGAGAGGAAATATCCAAATGCACAATCCTGAATGAATAAGATTCAGCGACTTATTAGATCTGTGAGGAAGGAAGGTGAGAGGGAGAATGAAGAATGACAGACATGAACCATAAAACACTCTCCACTATAACATTTGGACAGGTAAAAGGTTGCATTCTTAACTAAAATGAATGAATGAAGAAGTAGGATATACTTTGGTTCTCCTTGTGGTTCAGTTGGAGGAAATCTGCAGGGTTTATTGCACCCCAGTGAATAGCCAATGCGAAGAAACAGAGGCTGTGTGTGCATCTTGTTCCTGGTCCTCTGGGAGTCAGGTCCCAAGCTTGATGCAATTAGCTAATACCGCACTTGATGTTCCTTCATCTAAAAGCCAGGCACTGTCAGATGTGATGTGCCAGCTAGGCTGAGTGCCCACAAAAGGATGAGGATGAGTCACTGTGCTCTGCTTCTATGCCTGTCACTGCTTCGAATGGGATCGAAACTTAAACCCTCATCTTTGAAGCCAGTCTTTGCGGGTAACACCAAGCAGAGCACTAATTCAATCTCCAGTTCCCAGAGGTATAAGTGATAGTGGTCTCAGAGAGATGATTCCACATCTTTGCCAAAATGCAACTGGAAAAGATTCCATTGCCTCTATTCAGGAGCTCAAAATTAATCTTGCGTGGTTTGTCCAATATGATGGAATGTAAACAACACAGGCTAAGCAGGGGCTTAAAATAGAAGCTAGTTTAAAAAAGAAAGAAGTCAAGTTCTATAGTATCTAGTATAAATCTATAACCTACGAAGAGCCCATTCAAATTTTCATGCAAAGCCACAAGACT